AGAGATTCATATCTATATCTATTTATATGTGATTGTAAAAATTAGCTTAATAAAAAACATTCAAGATATATTGTAATGGACTATTTCAACGATACGGCGCCTACAAGTTTTAGATCTACAAAATACCCGACTTTGATTTTTAATCGATATTGCATTTTATCTATTCACAACTTTCCATACTCAGGTCCAATTACTACAAGCAAAGCATTGAAGAGAGGCGTCAAGGTACACTGATCACAGATCATTTCTTTTATGTTCACTGTACCTTGACGTCTCGGTTCAATGCCTTGTTCGTTGTCACTGGAGCAGAGTATAGAATATCGTGAAATAGGCCGCTTGCATTATGACGTAACTTTACTACAACTACCAGAGAGCCTTGCACATTTTCATTTTTATTCAGATTTTTAATCCCCTTGGAGATTAATAAAACAATTGGCGCTAATTGCATTACAAAATAAAGTTGGCAAAGCATTCCGGTAATTGTAGTAAATGACGCCATAATGCAAATCGCATATTACTCACACGTACCTAATTGACATCCACAGTTCCAAAAGCATTGTGGGTTWGGGTTGCTGGAATCAATCCTGTATCCAGCAGGGTAAATACGGCATAACTTACATCTTGTGTATTTAACRAATTGAGCGGCCTTAGTGTCAGTGTAACGGTACGCCTTGGATTCTGGGATTGAAACTACTTCCAGTCTTGATGCTATTAATGATAATTAATAATATCGATTAACAGGCAATCAAACGTCATTTAGTTGCAAGACACTTAAATTTCAATTTTAAAAGACAACAACAAAGTCATTTGCAAAAACACATTAAAATGTATTATACTCAAACAGTTATAACTGGATGCTTATCTGGAGCTGTAAAGTAAATTAATCATCCTTCCCTGGGATTCTAAAAACAATTTTATTCAAATGACTTTGTTTTTGTCTTAATTGCGTCTTTATAACTGAATGTATTAACCTTGTCGCAAAAACATAGTTGGGTTCCAAAATATTATATGGTTGATATATGAATTTCAATTGCCGTTCATGATAAACCATCCAACAAATAATCTAGCCATATTCCCCTCCTTAACTATTAGCCCTTTCCGGCACACCTTCTTCTCTAAAATAACAATGTTACTTACATTCTAAAATCTATTTTCTTTTCCTCCATCGTTTTTTCTTCATTTTTGTCGACAAATTCATTGCTGTTTAGATAACTTTGCACGCACACCTGACTTACCGTTTTCATCGATGTCCAGCCCTTTAAACGAAATCGACGGCGTGTACGTCACAAGGTCTGACAATTGTCTACTTAGTCGAATGGTTCTTTTGTAGTCACTCTCCTTAAAACAAAACAACACCAATAGCAATAACAACGATAAATACAACATAATAACAACAACAACAACAACAACAACAGCAACACTAACAGCAACAGCAACAACAATAGCAACAGCAGCAACAACAACAACAGCAATAACAACAGCAACAACACTGGGTGATTTGAGAAAATGCGACTAGCCAATCAGCGCAAAGCTGACAAGCTTATGTTGTAAACATAACCCCCCGACGGGAGGAATTTGCACAGCAAAATTTGACCCAGTGGAGTAGGCTGCCTGTCATTTTATTCTATCCGAAAAATCGAAGCTAAAACGCAAAGAGAAATTGAAAATCTTTATAAAATAGCTTTTAAATGTCAATCAAATATTTATCGTTATAGAAAGAGAATTTTATCTTAAAAATGAAAAAACAAATAACTTTTTCTTTAATACCACGAGACTCCCCTCCCTGATAGAAATAATTGTTCTGTGTTCTACGCGGGTTCTCCATTGCATGCGAAGCAATGACCGACTTCACGAAGACTTCAGAAGGTCGTTGAAGCGACGTTCAAGTCCAATGTATCTTAGGAGGAACCATTGCAAATCATTTTTCTTAGCTTTTGTTTCCTCTAAGCTTTGAGGTATCTACAACATGTCCAACATCAATGGAAGAGCTAGAGCAGCTTAGGTCCACGTATTCCAATAGCGTTTGTTATTTTTGGTACAAACAACGGTAGTAGTTCATTCTTTGTCGCATTTTCGGCAATAAGCCGCAAGCGTGCTCGACGATTTGACGTTATGTAACAGGCCAGTTACACATTTACTACCTCTGTACAACGAGAGCTAGAACGGTGATTGGGGTTTTTCGTGTAATGTCTTGATAGCGACTGTTTATGTCGAGACGACTCAAAACAAAATTCCATCGTGAATAAAGTTCGACTAAATTCCCTTCTGAAAAACACGTGTGTATTTAAGGTGGAAAATGTTTCATATGAGCATTCAATTCTTAAAGGTTTHATTCTATAATCATTKTGTTTAGTTATGTAAATATATTTAACACGACTTGTACTGTTTGTCTGAGCGAAAGGCGAGATGCGGGTTTTTCCTTTCTTTATTTACACTTTCAAATATGACCGCTTAACAAAAATGCACGGGCTCACTAGCTTACAACCTTGGCGAATTCATATGCAGGCCTGGTCGCAAATCAATCACCCAGCAGCAACAACAACTACAGCAACAACAATGACAACAATAACAACAACAGCAACAACAACAGCAACAATAACAACAGAAACAACAACAACAGCAACAACAGCAACAACAACAACAGCAACAACAGCAACAATAACAACACTAACAACAACAGCAACAATAACAACAACAACAACAGCAACAATAACAACAACAATAACAACAACAACAACAACAATAACAGCAGCAGTAACAATAACAATAACAACATCAACAACAGCAACAACAGCAACAAAAATAACAACAGCAACAACAACAGCAACAACAACAGCAACAACAACAGCAACAACAACAACAGCAACAACAACAATAAAAACAACAGCAACAACAATACTAACAACAGCAACAACAACAGAAACAACAATAACAGCTAGTAGCAGTAACAACAAMAACAAAAGCAACAACAATAACAACGATAACAATAAGTAACGAATGAAGCTACCGATGAATAAATGCAAAACAATTAAGTTTAGCTCCAGCTTACCCCACGAGATAAAGTCCTACTTCTCTTCGAACGTCGCTTTATTTTCTGAAATCAAAGTAAAATCATCATTCAGCTTACCATTTTAGACATTTCGCACTGTATTAACCCGCGGCTTTTCATTTTGATGAATTGCACAATGTCACACAAAATTTAAAATTACATTGACATGATGCGATCCGACGTTTACAGCTTTTACGCCGAAAAGATGCACGTGTTGAGGGAACATTGGACTKTTTGATCTGAAAGATAACAGTCCTTTGATAGGACTTTGCTAMTGATTGCATGACAAGCAAGGCCGTGCTTTGTTTTTTGATTTTGAGCCCACAATTGTCGTAAAAGTGGATAGACACACCCTTTCTGACAAAGGACTTTACTGTGAGGACATTAAATAGATCAAACCAAATCAAGAAATCAAGGTGCAATAACATAGATATAAAAGAAAACAACATAACTAGCGCCTTAGAGT